CAAACTAGACTACTGTCCCACAGGAAACATGACAGCGGACATCTTCACGAAGCCGTTGTCATGAACAAGTTATCAGAAACTTAGAGAAAAACTAAATATTGTGGGACACAGAGACATGCAATGTTGAAAAGAAGGGGTGTGGGAAAATATGGGGTTTCAACCAAGCCTGTCTCACGCGAGCACAAAGCGAGGGGTGGCTTTGCTGTGGCCTAGCTTTGCTGCTTTGTGTGGGAGGGGCTTGGAGCCCGCCTTTTTTCCAGTTTCCTCATTTTCTTTTCTTCTCCTCATGGCTCTTCACGAGGTAGGAATGAATCCTCTCTCCTCATGGTTTTTGTAGTAACATTTCAGAACTCCAACATTACAGGTAGTATGAAGTATACCATGATCAAGAGGTCTAACAGGATCAGGAGGGATGCACTCACTTCATCTAAGTCCCGAAGAAGGTCATCTACCAGAGTCACCTGTTTCAGTTCCATGCCCAGACCTGAACCCTGACTGAAAAGGTTCCAGTTAATCAGTATCCTCTGTAGGTGAATAAATGATTAATTATGATCATAAACCAGCATAAACAGATTCCAAATAGAAATACAATTCCCAAATACATAAATAAATAAAAAATAATAAAAAATAAATAAAAGTGCATATAATGCATACATAGTTAGTCAATCAGATAAATAATTACCACTAAAATGGGTGATCAACAAAACCAGATGAGAAATATCTACTTAAAGAAAGATTGTCGTGTTGTGTACAGATAGTGGAGCAGTATGTAGCAACATTCAGTGAAATAGAGGATTGTAACAGCTGGAGGAAACTGATTTGCCATGACCATTCCAACCACTTTCTCCAAAAAGGAGACTGAGTAAAAGTGATCAGACATAGCTGGGTCAAGGCTATGCCTCCTTTAAGGCTAGCCCTCCCGCAGAGAAACGTTAATTATCTCCCCAGTCCAGTACCTCAGGTTCTGCCTGGTGGCTCAGAGGAGCCAGTATGGGCCTGGCTCAAGCCTGTGGGTAGTGGAGTTCAAATGAAAGAAGACCCTGCCCATTTTCTCAGGCTCTCTAAGCTCAAAAGAATCCCAGGTTACAGCACCAAGATGCTGCCTCACTCACTGCTGTCGACTCTGACAAACTGGCATCTTTAAAAGAAATTATTTATTTTTTATATTACTGTATATAAAATATGTTGTAATAAACATATTGCTGAGGTTATGTTATCAGAAACCTGATGATCTTTCATAAAACTATGTCCAAAGAATTGTGAATGGTAAATACCTTCTGTAAATGTTGTGCCAAAGTAGCAGTTAAAATCTTAGCACCTATATCTGACCATCTGTGGGTAGGGGATGAGATGAATGCAACTTGTGGGAATATAGTAGGAAAAAAATGATGCCGACACATATTTAGATAATGATACAAATGTCCAAAGGCCCTTATTCACACAGGGAAAAGAGTGCAGTATCTGAAGAATTTGAAAACTGACTTCAGTTTTGTAGTCTTCAGTGTGAACCACAAGGAGTAGACTGGGGCTTGGGTTCAGAGCTAGGAGGGCCACCAATAATCTCAGTGTTAAAAAGAAACTTTGAAATGGGCAGCCAAAAGCTGACCATTTCAAACAGTTCATTTTCCTGCTTAGCAGCTCAAACAAGGTACAGCAATAGTAAAAGCTGGGGCAAGGTCAGGAAAGGAAGTGAACACTGTGGAGCAGAAGGTGATGGCAATAACACCTGGGGAGGAAGAGGTGACATTGGCCGGTATGGCAGGTGATGGAGAAGTCAGACCGATGTTGGTGAGGGACATAGGACACCTTGGTGGCATCGCTGCTAGTGATAAGAGGCAAGATTCCTAGCAACAAGAATGGAATCTCCAGTGGGATGTTTCTGTATCATTTCACATTGTAGATTATGAAAGGCCAGAGGTTTTAAAAAAATACACTTTCTTACAAAAATTTCTGACACATATTTAAAATGTATGTAAGGGAGGATGAATGTAAGGGAGATGTCTGGCTTAGCATATTTGTTGAATGCTTTACTAAAAAAAACACCTTAAAGGAGTTTTGAAATGCAATCCCCTGATTGCCAGCGTGATGTGATATAATCCATCCTATGGGTTTCTGCTTTGTGCTTCAGCTCTCATGGGCAGCCATTTCAGATCTTCAAGGCTGAGACCTACTTGGCAAACTGGCCACTAGAGTGAGCTGTATGCAGAAACATCTGGGTGGATCAGAACAATGTTCCACTGCAGAAAAGAGAACAGAAGTACAGTAAAGTGTACAGATTTCTACCTCAACCAGAAAGTATTTGATAACTTAAGGGGAAGAATTGTTCCAATATAGAATAAATACTATAAAACAGAAACCATTGATAGTTTCAGATAAGTCTACAGATTTTACTACACTAGTCTCCTTGCTTGGGCAAAGAAGCCTAAGTCAGCCCTGCAATGTTATGTGGGCTGAACATAACATTGCATGAACATTGCCAGCATCTCATGCAGTCCGTGCTGCTTTAAAGAGTTGCATTGCACCAAAAGCCTTTGCCTGTGTGCAAAAGGAAGGAGCTATGCAGAAAACTAACTGGTCCCAGAGGCTCAGTGGAACTGAGAGGAAGACTTTGGGCTTGCTGAGAAAAGCATGCCAATTCTAGACCATTGCTTGAAAATATCAGCAATATGCTGAAAACACTTAAACTGTTTCCTGAATGAACAGGACATGATTCTGGACAACTGCAGCAATAACATTACTGTGGCTTTCAGTTTGGTTCCTTGGCAGCTTCTGAACAATATACAGTATTTATTGTCTTTATCAGCTATGACAGAATTAAAAGCGCTCTTAACTAATTGTGACTCAAAAAGCATACTCTGTCTATCCAGAAGTGCATATAAGAGTACTTAATAATGAGAACAGCTTTATGAATAACAAGAGGGACTTGCCAGCAAGCAGACTCATGTATGGCCTCAGGAGGGGATGGGGTGACGAGCGTTGGCATATGCATACTCGGCTGCACACACCCGTGCAAGAAATTCCAAAGCCCAGCAGCTGAAAAAACGCATTGCCTTGCTCTGCTTCCCCTCGCAGGGCCCCTCCTCTCCCCTGGCATTCTTTTGCTCCTTCTCCGCCTGAAGTCAGTGGCTGAATAAGGCAGCAGCTTTCTAAAAAACCCCTTCAATACAGCACAATGTACATGTGCATCAGGCTTCTGGCTGTATTGTTGGTTCTTTGTTATTTTTACTGTGATTGTTCTCAGTTCTTATTTTTTATGTGTTTTTCAGTAAAGGGTTTTGAAATTGTGCTTGAAGATAACACTCAGACAGAAAGCAATGATATTTGCTTCTTAGTACTTTGCAAATCTCACTCAGTGAAAGAGAATCGAGAGAAAAAAGTGTTAACACAGGCTTTAATTTATCAACAGGCAAATTCCCACAGCACATAAATTAGTTCTTAATAAGAGATGAAGAGGACTTTCATGCAGGGACCCCTCCAGAATCAGTTCTGCACCAATCTGATCTCAAGGCATCAAGAGCTGAACCGGTTCATTTCTGGCTCAACTATGCTAGGTTTGAAATGCCAGCAAAACCATTTTTTTCCTTTCAGTGCTATTTTGGCTCTATAGAGCTTGGTGTGGTGCATTTCTCAGTGTGCAGGAACTCTTGCCTCATGATATCTCCTACTCCTGAGCTCCATCCAGCATTTTTAAGGAAAAAAGTGGCTTCATTGGAACTGCTTGGATCAGCCAAATGCATACAACATAAAACAGAAGTAGATGGGGAAGTGTGTGCCTGCATATATGCAAGCAATTTTATTTCTTTTTGCAGGATGGGGGTGGCTGAAGTTGTTATTTTAGACCTGCTGGAAGCTTGAGTTGGGGCAGTGACTAAATGATGTTCTGCATTCCTTATTATTTCAGATCTCAGGCTTTTGTGGTGTGGTGACTCCCTAAAATAATAAATATACTGTATGTGTTTGACCCCTTCCTCCATTATGCAGATATACTGTAGTGAAGTTAATAGTATTTGGGATCTTCTTGACAACTATATTACTAGCCAACTTTGCCAGTATCCAGACACACTAGTTATTATTGCTGGTGATTTGAATGAGAGAGATATTTGCTATTAGAGAGTCAGATGCTTTCTTACAAGCTCATTTTAAATTGTTCTCTTTCCCCTCCCCACAAAGAAGGAGACTGCCCTATACAGGCTGGATGATCTAAAGATAAACACTGTAATATAGCAAGCTTCTGACTGACCCTGCTTATAGATAGTATGGATCTGATTATACTAAATAGCTCTGCCAGAGGAGACTTAAATGGAGAATTATTGTATTAGGAACATGGAGAATGTTGAAGTCAAGAGAAAATTGACTGCAGAGGGATTTAGTTTTCAATGGTTTTCATATGCACAATTAAGGGAAAGGTTTAATATAGATAAAAAGGTATAGGAATTGAACAACATAAGACAGAATTTGGATGAATGATGAACATGTGATTGCTAAAATGTATACACTTTTGTTGAGATTTGAAACAGAAGAACAAGTTAAAGAGTGCATCATAAAATGGGCTAAGAATTGATTGGACCAATGGGAGAGAATGTGGTTAAAAGGACTGAAATTCTCATTATGTTATAATTTAAGAGATAATTTTTTTATAAAAATGATGTACCACTGGTATATGACACCAGATAAATTATTTAGGATGTATAAAGGTACCTCTAGTCAATGTTGGAAGTGTGAAAAACATGAAGGGGCATTTTACCATACATGGTGGACTTGTGAAAAAGCAAAAAAATATTGGATACCAATACATACAATAATAAAAAGAATTTTAAAGATCAATATTCACATGAAACCAGAACTTTTTGTATTGGGACTTTTTTTTTTTTTTAAATCTGCGCTCAGTCATTAGTG